AGCTACAACGGGACATTTCCATGCTAAAAATCATATTCCAGTCACAACACATCAAACGGCTGATGCAATACTCTTATGAAATAGTTGTGAAATAGCAAACAACTCTTATTTCACATACTGACCACCAAATACTCTCAATAATTTCACTATGTAGGTTGCGCTCATGTGTGACCAAAACAACCACCATACACTGTCATAGAGCATTCTTTGTTCAAGGGCATCAAACACACAAGCTCGACTCACACTCGCACAAGTTCGAAGGCACGCATAAAGGGAAATAGAAGCACAATTATAGTGCGCGCCAACAAATTAGTACTACTTGCTCTTCGACATATATATATATGTTTACATAGACAATGAAATACACTGTGAAGAATCATTCTTATTCTATAGTTGTAATAACGAAAGCATATTATATTTTGTTTCATTACCGCCAATTTTGTTTACAACAGCAATTTCTTCAAACATATCGTTTCACGCGTCATGTTTTTCGTGCATTCCACGTACGATATAAGAAAACTTCATTTTTTAAGTACTCAACTTGCTCTTATAAACTTTTAATATTTTGATTCAAGTTTGATATTTGAATAATTTTCGTTCGTATTTTCAAAGTATGTATTCATAATGTAATTTTATTAATCTGTACTGCAAAAGAGCTGTACGTAATTTGCCTAAGTTTAGCGTTTGATTTTTATACCCTGAACCAATTGAAAATGGGAAATCAGGGTATAATGGTATGTAACGGGCAGAAGGAATCAACGGAGACCCCATAAAGTATATATATTCTTGATCAGGACGGCGAGCTGAGTCGAAATAGCTCTGTCCGTCCCTCCGTCCGTCCGTTTGTATGAGGGCGTCCATCTCAGAAGATCCAAAAACTAGAGAGCTGAAATTTGGCATGCATATTCGTGTATACCATACCACTAACCAGACAACACATAGACCGGACACGTAGTGTAAGGCATTTGCACACTTATTTTCGAGCATTAGTTTCCAGACCGTTCGTATTTGCTCGGCTCCTCACTTTTAGGCTTGTGCTACTAAAATATGGGAACACAAAATCATTTCTCTTCATGCGCTCGACCTAGATGGTGACTGTTGAACAAAAGGTCCCTCTATGCTAAATGTTTCCGTTGCTCTCTCTCTCTCTCTCTCTCGAGTCTGGTTAGTGACCATACGCAGTACGAGCTCTCTTTAGTTTTTCGATAAATCATCCGATAACTTTTTTATCGAGAATAATCGAAAAATAGATTGTTTTTCAGCCTCATTTGAACATTTTTAGACCTGGAGACCTCAGATGTACTGTGTATATACATATGATGAGTGCAAACATTTTGTAATTTATAGATTTTGAATACCACGCCCCCTTCGCCCACAATTTGTAAAAAACACATTTCAAATACTAGAGACTCTTCTTCTTATTCAACAAATTCTCACAATATTGCCCACACTGCAGCGCAGCCCAAGCGCACTCGTATCCGAATGGATTTACTCTAGAATTTCTTATGAGAGTCGGCCATTCAATTGGTGCCCAAACATTACGGTTTCTAATAAAGGATTATATTGATACTGCAGACATCGTTGTATGACCAGGAAGCAAATAGGTGATTTAAATTGTTTTCAAAAAAGTTGATAAACCAGATAGCACAGCCCTGTTTATATTGAGCAACTATCGCAAAAAAGGCTGACTTGATGCTGTTTTTTTTACTATCTAGAATAAGCAAATATTTTACAAGAGCTGAGCAATTTCATTACTACCTCCTTTGCCATCAACTTCGCCCTACAAAAATCTTTGCCCATTTCGTGTAGCAGTCTCATATATACTTAGATTATTGTACGAGTATTTACGTGAGTAAAAGAGGGTTACATTTTTTGGAATGCGACATGTTTATTACTTTCATCTCGGATACCTCATTGCTGTCTTTTCGGTTACATGGGTTGATGCCACAGATACATGGGATTTTTATATCGTTGCATCTTCGAGACAATACAGCCTAACTCGGGGCAGTGCTTCTCTCAGTTCCATTTAAGCACTGACCAGAGAACACATAGACTAGACATGTAGAACAAATTTTTCTACACCTCGACACTGTTAAGTTGAGGTACCACTATTCTTCGTATTTGCTCGGCTCGGTCGCTGGAGGTTCAAGCAGTGAAAATGCTCTCTGTTCAGTGATTTAAGTTAGCTGTTTTAATAATCTGTATCCGACATGCGATTGCATGTTCAAACTACTCCAAATTTGAAGTTCTTAATTCGTTCGCTCGATAGATTGAAGATCTTAGGACAGTAAATATTTCATGTTAAACTTTACAATTTCGCTCAACATTTATTAAACATGATATGAATGACATGAATTCGAGTTACGTGACCCCTTTTCGAGACTTAAAGGTTACTCATTATTAAAATTTCCTATAATACTGATTTCTTATGAATGTAACGAATTTGTTCAGATTCCATATTAGTTATATATTTCAAACAATTATCACAACATATATATATTAATTATATATATTAATAAATACTTTCTTGTTTCCAAACATATCCGATATTAAGTGAAATGCAACAAATATGACAACCAACTTTTATTTAGTTTAATTTTTTCACAATCGAAGTTATGCGGTGTAAAACATTTATCTTAAAGGACCATTTTATTTACGGATTTTTTGTTAAATAATTTAATTTTTGTAGATTTTTAGGTTAGCTAGAAAATAACTTAGACTTCTCCGCTTGATTCGGTCTATGGTCTGTTCAATGTGTGTATTTTTATAAAATAATCTGGTTTAGTCTATTTTCTGTGGGGGCGTTAGCTTAGTACGGCTCTTGGGGCGCGTCCAAGTCTCGGTAGTGAGATCTGGCGCGGTAATCGAAACCACCGGGCCTGCAAGCAACGAAAATGAATGTGGTTTAGATTTAGGCATTATATACACAAATCTTATATAAGAAAACAAACATTTACTGCAGCATGTGATTGCATAATAGAAATCATCAGAAACTGTATTTTATTTACTGACAAAATTATAATCCTTAATTAGATCCAAGCCCACAGGTTTTAATTTTTTTTTTTTTTTTTCGTTCTTATTTTTTTTGCTTGTATTTATTCTTAATACAATTGGCATATTGTACATAAATAAAAGTGAAAATCGTTCCTAAGATTTTGTCCCCATTGGCTAGGAATTAGCTTAATTGCTTTATAGAACTATGCTTGAAAATATGCGTTAACTGTGTGTGGTTTCTGCGTTCTGTGCTAATCAATCAATTAATTAATTAGTCAAACATATCGGAATTAATAGGCGCATCCAAATCATGGTAACCGATAATCCGGCGTTGGTGTTCCAAGGGCATTTCTCTGCAAAAAATTTGCGACACAAGAAAGTCGTGACAAATTTCGTTTTTAAACCAACAACAAAACAAATGAAAGCAAGTTAATGAAGGCATATCGAGATCGGGACTAATAGACTAGGCTCCTTATCAACTTAAATTTACTTAAGGAAAAACATGTCTGATTTCTGAGTATTTAGTAGAGATACGATATTTTAATTCTACTAATTTATTCGATTATGTATAAGAAGTCTTTAAAAACGGCTATTATGTAAGCTGGAAAGTACCGCAATATATAATAATAATTAATATAATTTAAGTTGAACTACTTTGAGAGTTGAAGGGTATTGATGACTAAAGTTCAAAATGCCATTTTCAATACACATTAACATACTCTGCTGCCTTATCAGATGAAATAAAATAAAATCTTTTAGTTAGGGACAGTGAAAGCTACAAGAAACTGGAGGTGTCACTCGATTTATATATCGACTACACAGACGGACGAAATATATAGACATCGAATTTTTGTCTATACTTTACCCTAACGTACTTATGTACTATGGACTTTGCATTTTAATGCAAGCAAATTGAGCTACTGACCTGCGTACAGGTGGGAAATTGCGTCCACCTCGTCCTCCACCGCCGCCCATCATGGGCGGTGCAAATCCATACGGCATGGCTGAAAATGGCGGATACACGGGTGGCCGATACCTGTAGGGGCAACAAATATTTACAATGGATAAATGGACATAGGGGATATGTACACTTACCCTGAACCACGGCCTGATTCGGATTCGGTGCGTTTGGAACTACCTGGATGTTCCGGTAGCTGCGGCCGTTTGGGATCCCGCAAATAGTTGTTAAAATATTGCACCTCCTTACGCACCTCTTCGACTTTTTCCTCGTGCTTGTTGAAGATGTGTTTACGTATGAATTCTGGACCCTTGAACTTCTTGCCCGAAAGCGGACACAGCCATTTATCCTTGGCCAGTTCCTGTGTGTTGGCTTGAACGAATTTTTCCACCTCGGCTTCTGGATCTTTGGCGCCCAGCTCTTTAATCTCCTCATCGCTCAGTTGCACAGTCTTGGTCAAGAACTGTTGCAGCTTGCCATCGTATGCTTTGATGTATTCCTGGACATCGTTGCTAGTCACGCGCATGGGGGCTGGTCCACGGGCATGTATAATGCCACAGCGGTTAGGCATTTCATCCTCGTATGGGTACTCGCAGTGATTGTAGTAGTCTACCGAGTGCACAATTCGTAAGTAAAGCACCAAGCGATCGAGAACAGAGATAAGTGACTCGTCCCGCTCGATGGGTTCGCCCTCGCTGTCCTTATTATCGCCGGAAAGGCCAAGCAGCTCCTCTTCCTCGGCTGAGGCTTCCTCAATGAGGTAATCGGTTATGTTCTGAAGCACCGGATTCTTGGAATTGAACCCATACGATGGCGAGTTACTGATACCGCTACCATTGGTAGCCTCTTGGCCAGTTTTGTTCTCCACTGCCTCAACATCTGAACGAGTCGAGTCGCACCACAGCTTAAATCGATCATCTAGATTCATAGCAATTTTTGCGCACAGTTTAATGTCTGCGCGCACAATCTGCTTATGCGCAGTGATACCATTGGCAGGTCGAACTCGTCTGCTCAAATCCCGGTTGACTATGGCGCCCATTTCGCAGTCGCGCAGACGTTGATTGTTCAGGCTCCAGCATATCTCTTTGATGTTGACGTCTCGAGTAAACGTGATCCACCCGCGGCGGTACCAGCGTCGCTCGACGAGGGGATCAGCAATGGCTACGCGTAGATAACCACTGAAGCGTTTGCAAATAGCTTCGATCTCTGCCTTGGTGATTGACGGCGCCAAATTTCGCAGAAAAATTGACGAGGTGCGATGCAGTGCTCGTGGATGTGGCCCATCCTTAACCTTGTCCAGATCGATTGTTTCGGTCACTTCATTTGCTGTTGATTCTTGAATGTCCGCTTCGGACCTGTCTTCGGTTTTCGCTTCCTTCTCTTCGCCATTCTTTTCTCCTGGATTGCCTGCCGTAGCATGCTCAGTTTGTTCTACTCGTTGCTCAATTTTGTCCTCTTTGGGTTCCTCACTGGCTTCACTTTTGATTTCTACTGCCTCTTTAGGATCTTCCACGTCGTCAGCCTGGGGACTTTCGGGTGGCAGTAACATTTCTTTAGCTGCTATGGCAGAGTTCTCTCTGTCTTTTTGTGCCTCCGCTTTCTGATCAGCGCGCAACCCCTCTTCTACATCGTATTTAGCTTTGACCTTTTCATCGTCTGATTCCGTGTCGGAATCGGAGCTAGAAGAAGATGAGCTGTCATCGTCGCTGCTGTTCCGTTTTCGTTTCTTAATTTTCTTTTTTTTTAGATTTTTCTCATTGTCATTTATAACTGATTCTTCCTCCTCTGGTTCTTTACTTCGTCCATCAATGGACTTTTCGCCGACTTTGCCTCTCTGCACTTCCATGGGTTCATCTTCATCCCAATTCTCCTCGTCAAGGTTAACGGGCCTTAAGCTTTTATGTTGTGGGGATTGAGCCCCTAGCAAGACGTCATCTTTCTCCGCTTTTGAAATCTCAGGCTCCCGTTTTGCTACGATAGTTGATTCAGTTGTTTCTGATTTGCGCTCGTAAACGATCGACGGATCTTTGGGCTTTTCGTCAAGAACCTTAAGATCCTCATCAGTGCCACCCTCTAGTTTGATTACACAAGTATCCAAAACTCGCACCAAAGCATCAGCCTGCGAAGAGTCAACTTTGACGCTGCTAATGGTGCCGTTCTCCAGTAATTCCAGAAATACTTCTGTTCGTCGCTATACATTTTAATGTGCATGTATTATAACTTAGTTATTGACAGATAAAATGTTGATTACCTTTAAAAATCCCCGCTGTTCTTCACTCCGTCGCACGCTGTCTTCTGGATGGTATTTGTTTTTGAACCTGCGAAAGACAAAGCTCAGCTTAAGAACAGATTACGAACAAAGCCAAATATTAAAGATAATAATGTTCAGAGATTCAAGTGGGCAAGACATATAGTCTTTGATTTTGTATATGGCAGGTTTTCGATTTCCTTGTATCCAGAGGGTAAGACATCAAGTACTTATTTAGTGGAACACATTTATTGGATTTCAATTTAGATTTAGCTTTTGCATATGTACAAATTTCCCAAGGTCTTACCTTTGCAAGCGCATTCATAATGTGTATATGTATATAATATACATTCGTTAGTTATATATATACATATATATATATATATATATAAATTTAGGCATTTGCTCGCAACGAATTTAAAAAGATCGCGGTTCAAAAATAAACACAACCCACGGCATTGCTCGCCGGGTAAATTTAAATTTAAAGTTATTCTTTCAGTTTCTACTGAGACAGAGGCTGTATCAGTGTCTCGTCTCTGAGTCTCAGATCGCAAAACGCCATAAAACCCATAAATAGCTGCAGAGAAAAACTTAATAATAAGTATACAAGACGGTTATGAATTTTATGAATGCAGTCGCACTTAGAGAAATAATTGCAATTAAATAAAGAATAAAATACAAAATGTACACATATAAATATACATTGTTTGCAGTGAAATGCAATGGATGTCGAGAATCCACTTCAAAGCGTGATTCTGGCCTTCGCTGTTGTCATTATTTATTTTTTAGTTCTTTGTTAGGGAAGACCCATTCTTACTCACCATTCCTCGTCCTTGTGCGCCACAAAGAACTCGTTTAGCTGCTGTCTTTTAAAGTCAGTCTTGTATTCGGTGTATTTACGCATCACTTCGGAGTCAGATATGTTCTCGTCCTGCGTGTCCAGAAATTGCTTCAGAGTTAGCATTGCCGGCTGCGTCAATGTGTCCCCGCCTCCAGCAGGCACTGTTTCTCGAACAGACGACCCGTGACCTGCATGGGAGTAAGCTGAGTGCAGTGACTGATAATGATCATTCCAGGCCTGTACCAGATACGGGTCATAGCCTGCAAAATAAGCAAAATAATTTATATAATAGTAATGAGCTGATAATATTAATCCTTCAGTGCCTTACCAAAACGCGGATTGGACCTCATCTCGCTGTCACCCCAGTCGGGTCGCATGCGCTTCGCTGGCGGCATCTCCCGCCCCGGTGAGCCGTACCGTGGACGTGGTCCAGAGCCTCGATAGTCACTATAATCTGGGCGATGACGTGCCCCGCCGCCGCCACCACCGCCACCTGCTGTCGAGCTGCCGCGAAACGGATTGCTGTGAGAGAAGCTGAATAGTGTGAACGATTTCACTATTGCCAAAATTTAATCCACTTACCGCTCCGACCACTCGTCACGTGAGTTAGAAGCACCGCCCATGGGTCGACGCTCGTCCCTGCGTTCGGGACGGTAGCTGTCGCGCTCGCCACGAAATTTATCACGCCGTTTGCGATCGTATTCATCATCTGAATCAGCCATTGATGGTTCCCTGAAATAAACAATGCAAAATAGCATTAGCAATTAACAGACTAGTGAAAGTTTGCACCTAAATGGAAATTCTGGAGCTGGCGACAGAAACATAACCTCAAACTCGACTTAGCAATAATTAGATAGCTGCATACATACATATGTATATGCAGCGTACAATTTTAAAATCTCTAATCATATCACCGTTTTTTGAGGTCTATAACAAAATTATTTTAGATATGTGAATTTTCCCAGGGCACATCCGCCATCTTGTCGTCTTTGTATGAAAAAACAACGCTTACGTGTTGTTACAAAGAAAATATCAATCGAAGAACAATTTTTAACACATTTGAAAGCGATGCGAATACTTTTCCTAAACTTTCTAATCTATATTTCTATTTTTTCACATTTACCTTTTATTTAAAAGTACTTTACTCTTTATTTCACCTTTACTTGTCCCACAGCTTGTCGGCGTCCGAGCTAAGATGTAGATGTGGTAGTAAAAGCTATCGATACTTCGATTCCGATACTCTTTCGAAAACGAGCTGCCAGACTCTATAAAATGTAACTCAGTGAACAACTGAATTGCGATAGTGGTAACCTTTATACGATTAATCATCAAGCTCAGTAAATATATTTGATTAATGAAAATTTGCAAATCGTTTGAACATATTTTAAATATATATATTTTTATTTTTGGTTTTACACGTTTCATATATATCGTATATATAGACTTTTGTTGTTTTTAGTATATTAATACGTATGTATGTATATGTACAGCTTAGATTTAAAACTATTTCAAGTGTGTTTTGTGTGTTTTGCTATCTGTAGTCTCTAACCCTATGTAAATATTTAATGTTTCACGTGCGTAATGTTATTTTGTTCAAAAATGTATTCATATGCGCTCATAGACTTGCATATTAATAAGCTTTTAGTTAATGCGCTGTCACTCGATCTCCAAAAATGTCACACATAAATATAGAAAATTACATCATTTTAGATACCTATATACATATTCTTCGGAAATTTAAGACAAGTTCTAATCGTAGTTTTACGCGTTTGAAGTATAAAAGTTATAATTTATGTGGTTTTCGCTTTTAGCAACACATAATGAAAGTACCTCAAAACTAAATGTAAGTTTATATAGTCTATATTATATGTAAAAGTATTTATAAATACATATGTATATGTATATAAACATACATATGTATATGTTTATATATACACATATACATGCGTTTTCCCTTATATAGACATATCAATGCACCTTAAGTTCTCAAATTAAAAACAAGCTAATCTCGATAAGAAACCATATAAGATAATAAAAATTGCATATTTAATTGTTTATTCGCTTTAAATGCTAACAATCTCTACTTCTCTCTCATTTTCAATAAACGTAATGAAGGAAAAATTTAAATAGATTTGTCAAATATTTGCCAAATAAAAAAGACTGGCGTCTTCAATCTAATCTAAACTATAAATAAAAGCTGTCTTTCTTTATGTTTGTAATCTACTTCTGTTTTTTTTTTTTTTTTTTTTGGCAGTGTAGCGCTTCAAACAAAAATAGAGCTAAATTATTATATATGGGAAACTTACATTCTTTGAAATTCACAAAAGTTGAAATTTCTTAATTTAGTTTACGTATTGTTTGTCTATTATTCATCTGCCTTTCATTTAAATTATGTGTATATATGTAAGTAATTTTTTAATTTGTATGTTTCATTTTCTTTTCTTTTGTAACTCTAAAATGCCACCAATTCAGTTTTCAGTTGCTTATTTTGTTCGGTTCTTTTCATCATTAACAAAGTATATATTGTTTCTTTTTTCAGCTAATGTGCGTTGGTTTTAGCATAGACCGTAATTTCAGTGTAACTGTTTTATGTAATTTATATTGTAATCCTATATAATATTGTAGATAATTGGATAATAGAAGTATATTACTGATTGCTACACATTGCAAATCAAATTTCAAATATTGACATATTTTCTTTATTCATTAGCACAGGTCAACATGGAATTTATGTGTTGAATCTGAAACTGAAACTGAGATCAGAATACTCCCCCACCAGGAGCCCCAAGAACTTTCCAAAATTGCTTTCTGGTGCCTCGATCAGAACTATTCCAATGGCATGAAAGGGAACGAGGAGGGCCTAAGCATCCTAGAAATTGGACGAGTCACAGCTATTCAAGATTCAGATCAGGATTCAGTACTCAGTATTGGGGCGACTAATATTCATGGTAGTGGGTTGACCTGTGTAACTAATTAAATTTCTCATTATTTTTTATTTACTTCCTTTCAAATGTTGGCAGTGAAGAAACGAAACTAAACATTTTTAAATTTATCATTTTTTGATTGGATTAAGTATTTAATACATCACATATGTAAGCATTTGTAAACATATTTTTCAAGTCGAAAACGATTTAAAATATCATTAACTAATTTCAAATTAAATAAATGGAGGCTGAGTGTTTGGTGTTTTTCATTTATGACAGTTATGATCGAGTGCTGCAAAGAACAAACAAAAAAGAAACAGGTACCTATAAGAAGGCATTTGTTTTATCATATTTCTAAACAGAGAGCATGGGTTTAATTTTCTTTCCATTGTATCCTTATTTTTTTTTTTTTTTTTTTTAGAAATTCAGCGAAACAAAAAGATTATTTTATGTATATTTGGTTTGGTATTTTGTAATGTATATTTGTGGTTAGCGCTGATGCTAAGGTCTCGCTTGTAGTTACGTTTATTATTAATGCTCGAAAAACCTTTTAATCGTGTTTGTCATTTGAATGTTTCGTTTGAGGTAGTTTTCAATTCAGGATCAATATCTACAAGTTGAACACAAAACTTTCATCTTTCAATTTTGCTTTTTCATTATCTTTTTTTTATAATGTTTTTGTTTTTTGTTTTGTTCTTGTTTTTTTTTTATTATTAAGGTTAGGTTTAGCGGAATGTTTAATATGGGACTCGATTTCTTTCTCTTTTTCATCGACTTTAAACCTTTACGGATCGTACATAAATCTTCTAGGGATTAAGTACCATATTTAGTTACAGTTTTAGGGCAAAACAAGTTACAGTTACACGTAACAGAAAACAGTGCATAAAAATTAAATAAATTACTTGTATTTGTCGTTTTTCTTGAATTCACAAAAATCTACATAACGATTTGTTCACGTACTTTTTGTTCTAATTATTTATTCATTTCTTGTTTGTTTTTGTTTCTATTATTATTATATGAATGGATATCTCAACAAGTTATTTACTTTATATGTAGCTTATGTTCTTTGTGTATCCTTATAATTTTGTCAGGTTTCTTTCTTTTGTATGTTTCGTATTTGTATTTGCTTTTCGTAATGTTTTCTTATTTTATATAGAGCAAGAGTTACCTACATACTTATTTACAGTTCCACTTAAGCTTAGGTAGTATTAGGGTAAATCTGTTTTATTTGCAGATATTATATATAGTATTATAAAAGTTGAGGGAAATGTTTTATAGTGAGAGCGTGGGAGTTTATTATTATTATATTAAATTAAATATTTCATTTGATTACGACTAGGTTAACTTATACATTTGACATGACATCAGCATATTTATTTAATTTTTATTATAATTATTTTTCATTTAGAAATTATAGTTTCTTTATTTAATTGAAAGAGTTTTTAGAATTTATTTTATCATCTAAAGCTATTTTATAGCGTGTCTTATATTTCTTTCACTTTAATTTAAGCTTTATTGGGCTCTACTCTTAAGTTTCGCCCATTTAAAAATCATGTATGTCTTCATTGTGCCAGATTTCCAATTTGTGAAACTAAAACTTGGACTACAATTTAAAAAAAAAAAAAATAAATAAATAAATAAATTTCCACTTTTAGACCCAAGCTGCTTCGTAATTCACTTTGCTTCCTCCCGTTTTTACCTTCTCTCCTTTCCCTTTCCTCTTTCGGTTCATTCGCTTTTATACTCCCAAAAAATTTGTTTCTTAGTTTGCTTTTCCAATTTCTGAATAGCCACACTCAGTGAAAAGCTAACTTCACAGCCGTTTGCTTCGCATTTTAGCGAATCGCATTCAATTTCTGCACGTTATCTATCGATATCCTATTATCATAAACTTATCGAAAAGAGTCGCTGCTCTACCCTGCTCTTCGAGTCTATACATTCGTCGAATATTTATCAAACTAAAATGTAAGCTATGAACAATTAATCTTCTAGTTTGTTAATGTTTCATTTTCAATCCTTACGAGTACATACCTTCCTTCCAATATTAAATTAGATAAAAAAGTGTTCAGAAAATCGATAAGAGCAAATATTTAAAAAAGAATAAGTTAAATAAAAACACAATTTTGCTTATGCTTCATTTTTTTGTTCAACATATTTTCATATATATTGTGTGTATATTTTTGTTTTGTTGTTGTTGCATGTTCCATTTTCGCATTTACGTAAAATTGTAAAAATTAATTGTATGTATATATATATATATTATTGTAGATTTCTGTTATTTTTACATTAGAGTAAAACTACACAACAAATTATGCGAATAAAAATAGGCGCCTGTAAGGTAATCTATAAAAAACTTAAGTTTTAAATCAAATTTATATTATAATAATTATATAATGAAACTTAAAAATGAGTTTTTGTTTTGCTTTGTATTTTTTATATTTCGGTTCATTCTTCCACTAATAGATTGGTATTATTTATATTATTTAATTAAATTATTCACTGTTTTTGTTTTCATTCTCCAAGTGCAGTTTACAAGTATTCTATTACTATACTTTCGCGTTATTATTTTCCAATATGTTCAAAATGTTTGTGTGTGTGTATATATATATGAAAACTATGTATATGTATATAATTAGAATAATGATAATAATAATAATAATAATAATAATAATAATAGTAAAATTTAAAAATTGCACATTTCAAACATTTTTCTGCCTTCTTTAAAACACAATTCGAAAATGATTTTTATTTTTCTTTGTTTACATATTTTGTTTGTGTTTCTCGTACTTTACAAATGCTACTAAAATTAAAGTAAATTTGATTTAAGTTAAAATAAGGCCAACAATTTATTTTTTCCCGTTTTCCTTTTTTTAAAGCAAAAGCAAAACAAAAAAAAACAAAAAATGAAAAAGGAAATCATAAAAATTTAATTGCATAACAAAATTTTCAAATAAAAAAACAAATTGCCAAAAATATTCCTTGCACTTTTGATGTCATAGTTTTTTTTTTTTTTACAAATTTTGATTAATTTACAATTATTCATAAATTTTAAATAAAATTTTTTAAATTTTTAATTAATATTGAAGTCTTTTGGTGTGTATATGTGTGTGTGTGTTTGTATCTAATTTTGTGTGGTTGTGATTGAAACTTGTTTGCCAGCAAAAATGTGCATTGATTTTTAAATTTATTTGTTAGTTAGTTGTTAAATATTTAATACCGTTAATGCCTTTTAAATTTTGAGTAAAACTCCAATCACTTTTTTCTTGTTTACAAAACTTTTATCAATTTCGCCATTTTTTTTTATCTTTTTCTTATTTTTCAAAGAAAAATAAAAAATAAACTGCATTTAAAATTGTAAATTCTCAATTTCTGGTTAATTAAAAAAAATATAAGGAGGGCATAAGGAAAAATATATTTGTATGTATTTTTCTTCATTTCAGTTTGTCAATATTTTTTCTTATTCCGTTTCAGTTACTCATTTAATATGATTAAAAAAATATTTATAAAATCAGTCCAAGTTTGCGTTTTTTTTTTAGATTTAATGTTTTTTTTTTTAAGTTTGGGTTTGTGGTGTTGTGAATTATGTAACTTAAATTAGCTGTTAATGGTTTAGCTTTTTTTTATAGTTCAAGGTGTTTAAATTAAATATAGTGCTTTTGAATTACATTTACAGGTTATATATGTTTCTTTTATTTTTTTTTTTAGTAATAATATTATAAATTGTATGTATTTGTTTTTATATATTTTTAAAATATAAACAATCTTTATTCTCTTTTGTTTTAATTTTTATAATTTTTGCATGACAGTTTGACAGTAGAAAATTCAATACAATGTTTTGGTTGTACATATAGTTGATATATAAACAAATATACATTTTTATGTATATAAATATATATGTTAAGGTATTCTTTGCATTAATTCTATGCCCTTTGCTTACGAGTTTAAGCATTCTCTGTTATAGTTTAGAATTTGTTTTATTGAATTAGCTGTGTCTGTGTGTGTGTGGGTGTGTCTGTGTGTCCATGTATACTATGTTTTTTGTTATATATATTCATAATACCTTAGACCTAATATTTGCAGGCTTAACACTAAATAACTGCATTTTACGCTTCCTCAAAAATGTTTTTCTCCAGCTTTTCATACATTTATATATATTAGATCAAGCAAATGTGCCGTTACGCACTTATGTTTTAAATCCACGCGCTTTATTTTGTTCAGCTCAGTAAAAAAAAAAAACTATTTTGCATATGTAAAATTTGACTGTTTCACCAGCTATATACAAATGAAGTGAATCTATTATCAAAGTGCCTAACGGTACAGCTCGGTCTATGTGGATGTGTGAGTGGGAGTGTGGGTGTGGGTGTGGGTGTAAATGTGTAGGCTCACAGCTGCCAAGCCTCAGCTCACTCAATAATGCTGCCTAACAACGGACCACCCACCGGCACGCCCACGTCTGTGTCCAAGCCCATGCCCTCAAGCAGAGGCTATGCAGTGGTTGTCGAGTGCTCCGATTTGAGGGGCACGCCCATCAGAGCCATCGCCGCCTGCGTATTGGCATACATGTTGACGTTCGCCCCTCCCCCGTTGGCCACCGGCGCGGTCGTCGAGCTGGCGGGCACAGCGGCTGTGATGCTAGTGCTGGAACTGGCGGCTGCTGTGGTGGGTCCCATAGCACCGCCACCACCTATATAGTCGCTAGTGGTGCTGACAGCTGAGACGGAGCCACCGGGCACCGGCAGTGGCAACGTGTGCACGGGAAGCGTGTGGAGCTGCTGGTGCTGTTGCTGTTGATGCAGTGGCTGTTGTTGGGCGGCGGCAGCGAGCGCCGCCTGGGACGATGTGGAGGCGGAGTCGGCGTCAAGGCCGGCGGTGATGGCACCTCCGACAGCGCCACGCATCCGCTCGGCGCGTCGCTCCTGCTCCTCCTGCTGGGCCTGGAGATGTGATTGAACTGAGGGCGGTATGGCGTGCACGTCCCAGATCTCCTCCAGGAACTTGGGCAGCTTTCGATTCTTGAGCTTGAGCGAGAAACACATCTCGGCGTTCTGGTTGCCCAGCGTGCGCAGCTCGGTGAGTATGGAGAGCAGTTTGGCGTAGAAGACGAGACTCCTGGAGTCGCCGCAGTGGCGATTGAGTATATAAATGCGTAGTGTGTCGATGTAGTAGCTCTGTATCGCTTCAACCAGCTGGGCCTTCTCCAGGCCCGGCCGGTCCGAGAAGATCACAATGGCAGTGAGTAGCGCGTACTCTACGTTGTCCACCTTCATCGAGAACATCTGCCTGCAGAAGTGCAGCAGATCCTCAATGTTGTCCGCCATTCCGGCCATCTTGTACGAGTCGCGCGTATACGATCGATTGTTCGCGAAGAATATCGAGTCCGAACTGTGATCGTAGCGTCGGGCCATTCGCAGCATCATTACCTCCGACGAGCAGGCCTGCAAGCAATATCGATAATTATCGATCTATATCTCGATTTCGATTCTCGTTTACTGATCGCCAATACTCACCTTGAGTAACGTGATCTGATCCTCTTGCGGTATCTTTGTAAACGCTGGTAATCCTTTCGCAAATTCCACGATCAACTGCACTGTGAGTATGGTTATCTCGGTGATGTGCCGAAAGCTGACATCCGTCTGACTCTCATTCTCATCGGGTTGACTCTGCATAGTGGGAAACAAGAAACAAGGGAGATGAGAGCAAATTATAGAAGAGTGTTTGTAATACAACTTATCAAGTGCTCTAGGGATTCTTCATGTTGCACCAAGAGCCGTGATTTGTGGAGGACTTACCATAATACGCTTGAGATCTTCTTCGGATGGCTGCTCATAGCCATCCTGATACCAAATTAATTTATATATAACGGCCAATTGATTGAACGTTAATGGAGGTATATTGCGCGCTTGACACTCGGCCAAAATATCATCAGGTAGTAGCTGCAAAGATATTCATCGTCAAGTTGCGATTGTCGGCAGCTGGGGATGGGAGTGGACTTACCGGAATTGTGGCATGCTGGGGGGGCTCGCACGTCATGAGGTCGAGAATTTCCTTCTTGACGTAGTCATGGGTACCGTGGAGAGCTCCAGTGGGGCCGCCGGCGCTGTGCTGTGAGCTGGGGGAGCTGGAGACCTTGTCCTTCTCCTTCTGGGCCTTCTTCTCGCGCCGCTTCATCGCGCACTGGTTCTCCGGCACCACGCATTCCGGCCGCATGCCCACGGCCAGGCACTTCTTTAGGCGGCACTCCTGGCACTTGCGCCGCATGTACATGTCCATCTCGCAGGCCCGTCCAAACTTGCAGCAGTAGTGCGCATTCTTCGTCACGCTGCGCCGAAAGAAGCCCTTGCAGCCCTCGCAGGTGAGCGCATTGTAATGATAGCCGGACGCTCGATCCCCGCAGACCAGGCACAGCTCCTCCTGCAGCCGGGGCGCCGGGCCCTTCTTGCTCTTCTTCGCATCGCAGCCCTCGTTTGCCGAGTAGCCGTTGAGGCTGCTCGAGGGCGAGAGATCATCGCGACCTGCAAATGTACCCAAATTCCAGATTCGATTATTCTTTAGCTGGCCGTTTTTTACGATTTCCGTGAATTTCTTAAAATCGAAATCAATTGGTTGTTGGCTTACATAAAACATTAGACCCAAATAAATAAATTTTTTTTTTCGAAAAATTTGCATTCGAAAAATGGAAAATCAAGAGAGAATAAATTCAAAAACAAATTCCCCAGAGAGCCGTCCAACAGCCACAAGTTCCTTCAATTTCCAAGCGCCTAGCTGTATATCTACGTAAGAATATATAATCTGGAACTTGCTGCATCTGTATCTGTATCTGTCTTTCTAGATGTATCTGTGTTTGCGAAGTGGGTCTCCAAGCATAGCAATGGACAAAAGTTCGAAAAAATATTTAAAATTCAATTACCGTGTGCTCAAAAATTATCGCACGCAAAGAATTCGACGGCATAAGAACGAGATAAATGTAAGCAAAGCAGGCAGAGAGAAAAAAAATATCTTAGAAACAGCCAATGGAAATAGGAGAACTCAGTACGGATATCGTCAATGTCGACCGTAGTGCTCAATTCTCGAAGTTTTATTCATTACAAACTTGTTTCAAGCAAAATATTTAAGATAATTATTAAAATTAACTGATATAGATAATGCCAGTAAGAGCAATCATCAAAATTCAGAATGGGGGATCAAAGGCCAGTAAAAATATTCCGATATTCTAAAGTGGAATATGGTGTGGAATATAACGCCAAAGTGGATGTCATTGGAAATCTAAATGAAATGCATGAAACGAGAGTTTAATCACTGTGATGCATGTGGATCACATATGTAGCTCTGAAAGACTGCATATGAAGATATGGAAGTTGAAATTCATATTCTCTGTATTCAATTAAGCTATGTGTGTTGTATGATTATCCTGTATGGGTGCTATGTCAACTCTGTCTACTAATTCATTATATATCCTATATCTTAGTCCTGATCTTCATTAGATATAATCTATTCTTCTCTAATGTTACTTGACCAAAGAGACTCGTATCGATTTGAATATTGACTATTGGCTCGGACAGGAAACTGCGGACTGCGGACTGCGGACTGTCGACTGTGGACTATGAAGAGTCCTGGCTCAGCTGCACTCATACAAATGGTCACGTTCAGGGCGCCCATTAGAAGGCGACGGAGAACGAGACGCAGGGCAAAAAACATATCAAGTGCAAGTTGTTGTCTGTGCAAAGACAGTAATAATCGGGCAGCCAGATGGATGGGTAGATGGGTAGATGGCTAGATGGCTAGATGGGCGGGTGAGCCGTATCCTAAGTAGATAAAAAGCTACGACAAAGAGGCGTTGCGGCTGCGACTTCGGCATGCGGCTTAGAGCAGCAAGACACTAGACTTAGAAGCCAAAGCACGAGCACTAAAAAACACTTGGACGACAAGTGCAAAAGCTGTGCCACGCCTACACCCACGCCCAACGCAGCCCGCTTTGATGAGTGCAGCGCGGTGTATTGTGGGCATAGCACAGTTTTTTTTCTTATTGCTTCTCATTCTCGCCTCTTCCCTGGTTCGTTGCATGCCACACGCTGCACCTGCTGCTGCCTCTGGAGCTACAACTGCTGCCGCTATTGCTGCAATGATATATTGCGCATACACCATGTACTCCCGCCTCGGCCGCTTTCCCTGTGCGCACACACAGTTGTTGCTGCACCGTTTCAATTTCACTGCCACAGCAAAAGCAAAAACAAGAGAGAAACAAGTAAAAAGCTGCACGCTAAATAATATGAAATGAAACGCGGCGTCATGCAAACTTCATCTGCTTCAGCAACGACGACGACGACGGCGACGCCAACTTGGCTGCAAACATTTTCACTGCAGCGTGTAACGTGCGTGTGTGTGTGGCATGTGTGTGTGTGTGTGTGCGCGCTTGGTAAATGAAAAATGCAGTAAATTGCTGTTGCGGCCAAAGAAAAAGTGTGTAGCAACAACAACAACAGCTGCAATGGCCCCAGTAGCAGATGAAAAGGACAGAAAAAAGTAAAAACCTGACCAACCACACATTCAACACACACACACACACACTGGGCTTCGTGTGTGTGGTTCCCGAGGCGTTGTTTTTTTTTTTTTTTTTTTCTTTGATCGCTGACAGCGTCATGCAATGTTTGGCATTTTCATGGCTTGTTTGCGCTATGCAGCAGCAACAACGACAACAACAACAACAACAGCTAAGTAACTTATTTTAATCACCATATATGAGCCATGACTACCTAAACTTCAACGCTGATAATACAAAAGACTTGAATGGAATATCTTTGGTTGCAAATTTAACACCGGATTGATTCGAGCTTGGCAAGCTGAAGAGGTTAACTTGAGCTTAGATCCATTTAATTAGCTATTCAAATATTTGCCAACGGTATGGAATGCCTTGAGTACATTTTGAAAGGATTAAGTCGAAAATATTAAATCAATTTGTTGTTGAAAACGCTTTATTGAAAAATGAACGAGGGAGGAATCTATGTGGATCGTATAATTGTGGAATGTAATGATATATTTACAACGAATACTTTGGAAAATGGATTGTCTGTGCATGCCATGTGGATTGTATTAGGGTTTTACCCACATCAATATATAAGCGGGTCTCTGACATTTCATTCATATATTTTGCATTCATGTAACGAATCTAATATTTCTATAAAAATTTGTTCGTTGTATTCAATATTCTATAGTGCGGATTCCATGTGGATTACGTGTTGGAATCTATATACTTTAGTTACATGAACTTAAATCTGCACATGCTTACTAAGAAAATGTTTTTTACTTTGTGGATTGTAGGCAGAAGAAGCCAATGCTTTCCACTTTCCACAAATCTAATCTAATCGCAGTACGTTTGCGTATAATCTGAGCGTATTAAATAGAACTGAGGCTACCGCCAGGTGGCGCTAATGCAGCGGAGAGCTATGTGTGAGGCAAGCTGCGTCAGCAGTAATTGGCCGCCATTTTGAGTTCGAAACTACCTCAGGTTAGAGGTGGTGCGGTCTGGTTTAAAGCGTAAGCCATCAGCCAGATGACTTATTATATTCCTTATACAAAATATAAAAATAAAAGCAACAATAACTACAACCAGTGCAACAACAAACACAATCAAAGCGCCACATTTCATTTTTCACTATAAAAAGACTTTCTGCATTCGAACAGTACCAAAGAACGCCATGAAGTAACTAAACAAAGGCTCGCAATGGGAAAAACTAAGAGGAGCAGAAGAGAAAGACGAGAAAAAAATAAACGGAAATATAGACGCCAAGTAAAGTACAAAAACAAAACACAAAAGGCAGCCAGCGACGGTGGCGACCTCCATGCCTCATGCCTCATGGCTCCCTCTCACTCCCTCTTCCATTCACTCCACACACCATTAAAAGCCGAGCCCGGCCTCTGCCCACATTTGGAGTTCATTGTGTTATTGTGCTTGGTCGTCTCTCGGTCTCGGTCTCGGCGCAACGCTGCGCCGCACTACATACCCACATAATCCATGTAAACGTCCGAAAGCTACGCGGTAACTGAGATGGGGACGAAGGCGGCGACGGCGGTGACGGCGGCAGCGACGGAGGAACGGGCAGCGACAGCAAGAGCAACAGAAGCCATAGCTATGGCCACGAGAGCACAACACAAACTGGGAAACTGCAGTCGACGTCGCCGCCGCCAGCCGTCAGTCGTCAGCAGCCAGCCACCAGCCGCCAAACAACAAGCACAGCAGCCAGCCGCGGCGCTGGCGCTCAAGCACCAATACAAATGCAAACAACAACCGCAACAGCTCGCACATGCAGCGGGCGCTCTCTCAGTCTTTACTGCACTCTCATGATTTACAGAGCGCGCTCTCTCACTCTCTCGCAGTATGTCTTTATCTCTCGCTCTATGTGTCTCTCTCTCTCTCTCCCTCTCTCCTTCTCTCCCTGTCTTACTCGCTCTGGGAGTTGTTGCAAAAGCAGAAAAATGTTGATGTAGGCCTCGAATATGCAGTTTGCCTTTGGCATTGCCACTGTCACTGCAAGCAGCGCTGCCGGCGTAGGTCCCCCTCTTGGGCTATGCAGCCCTGTTTGCTGCTCCGCTCTGAGAGTATGTGTGTGAGTGTGTGCGTGAATTGCATGTCGCACACAATTTGAGCGTGGTATAGGTAAGTTCTCCCTTCTTTTTTTTGCTTTCTGCTCGTCCGTTTCGCGTGCATTTTTGTTCTATGCCAAGAATTGAAACTTTTTATCTGCTTTTGCTTTTTTCTGTTCTTTATTATTATTATTATTTTTGTGCTCTACTCTAGTCGTCGTTTTCCATGGTAATGTTTTGTGGTGCTTGCTTCAATGCATATTTTTAAGCGGCTTCTTCTATATGTGCGAGTGAGTGTGTGTGTGTGTGTGTGTGTGTGTGTGTGCGCCTTAGGCTGCAGCGTAGCAAAATAGACACATATGTGAATATGCTAGTGGCCAGGCAGTCTTCGTAGATCCCATCTTCTGCTGTTTTTCCAACCCTCCTCAGTCGCATTGTCGCCACTGCGCTGCCGTGGCTCTGCTGCGATATTAGCAAGTTGAAATCTATTCGACTGAAAGTCATGACAAAAGTCTGACGGCAAAAGCAACAACAACAACAACAACGACAACAGCAACAACGGCTTGTTTGCTTGTACGATTTGCAGTTGAGCTGTAGCTACAATATAAATACAAATACACACATATATTAAATCTATATATATATATATATACCTATACACATATGTGTAAATATACTGAGCATCTATATCATCATCTCACATCATATACACATATGACAAAAAAACGTCATACATACATATGTATGTATAAATGTATATGTAGATTTGACGATACATTTTTTGCACTTACAGAAGCTATTCAAAATTTCATACGAATTATTGTATATGTGTATGTATGTGAGTAAAAGTGTGGTTTGTGTTTGGAAGTGGAATTCATTGCCATTTCACTGTGAATGTCATGAATACACATATATGTACACCAAGTAGTAAGCA